AGACCTCTTTCGCAACAATGGTTAGATCTTCATTTTGTTTTCGTTTCTTAAATTCTGGTGGCTCTCTTGAATTTTCTGAGGCTAAGCAGATTTCATTCCTGATAGTATAAATTTCATTATAGAAATCTCCTAACGCTGAATGGACAGTCGAAGAGTTAGCATGGCGGCTTTGAAACTGATCATACAACAAGTCAACATGTGGCATGATACGGTGAAAGAAAGAAAACCAAAAGAGGAAATGCTTGTGATTCAGCATGCGTAGGAGTCCTGAAGCTGCTTGCACTGTTGGAATGTTATTTGACTTTTGCAGCTCCTTAAAACATTCTATCAACTCGTTAATATTTTCATAGACTGTGTTCATGACCATGGAGTTAAAATTCCATCTAGTGTTGGAACCTCGTGGAATTATTTTGAAATCACAGCCAAACACACAGAGAAGAAGGTTGTTATTCCTGATATACTTAAAAAAAATAAGCACGTCTGGATTTTTTTATGCTGCTTTTTCTATTATTAAATTTAACTGATGTGATAACAGTGAATAAAATGATCATTTTTGTGCTTCCTTAATTATGGTTTGTACTCCACCTTTCTCTCCACTCATTAAAGTAGTGCCGTCATAGATTTGAGCTATAGGCTTCCCAAAGTCACCTTTCAAAACAACACCCAGTTGTTCTAACACATATTCCGACAAACCCTTTGCATCTTGTGAATTGGGGTTGTAAAATCCCCAAAACCTTTCATACACTGTGCCTTCATTTTCATAGCGAAAGACTACTACTTCCTGTGTTTTCTCAGAAACATCTGTTGTGTCATCTTACAGAACAGCTAGAAATTTTCTACGACTAACTTCAGCAGCTATTTCAGCTTTGTAAACTTTCAAAATACAATCCAGCACGTGGCCACGCAATGGAAGTTCAGACTCCCCACAAAACTTGTTACAGTCAATTATTTTTGACAGTAAGTCTCTGTTTCTTCTAACTTCCTCATTATGTTTATTTGTGGCTGATCTATAAGCTTCACTCAACTGGGTGGCAATATTTACTTTTCCGAGCATGGCAAAATCGATCACATTCCTGTGCCAGTCCAAGTTCATAGTTAGATTCCCGAACGGGCTGAACCAGGCTTTTGCATAATAATCTGGTTTACATAAACGAAGGAGGTGTGATTAGATGGTATTTGGTACGCCTTACTTCATCAAAACTTGATTGATTTTATTAATTTTAGCCTTGTTAAATGTATTAAATTGGAAGAAAGTGGCCACACTCGATCGCTTGAACGTCTCTCCTCTCGACTCTACGTCTAGAGGGAACGTGAAATAAACAAAGATTGCGCAATCGTATAAGTTGTTACGAAACGAATACTTAAGCCTTTACAGATGTGGAATGACGATTGAATTACAACCATCGCCTCACTGCGACTAACCAATGGAATTTGAATATGGCTTTTAGGCGCGTTCCTGTAGTGATTTTGGAGGGACGAATCACATAGCCGTTTTTAATTCTTATTTAAGAACAGTTACGAGTTGGGGGGTATTTATAGAGCGATTGTGTTGTTGCGGGGCTCTCTGAAGTTTTGATCTTCATGTCGTGCAGACACGTTCCCGCGTACTTTATATTATATATATATATATATACACACAAAGACAAACAGCAGAATCAACGCTCTGCCTGGCATTAAGTAATTGGTTATACATCAAAGTGTATCAAGAGGAAATTAAAGTGGCCATATATCAGCTCAACAGTGTCATATACAGTACTCAAGGTAAGAGATTTCGCATCCTCCGCAAAACATCACACCCACCACTGCCTTCCCCTTACATTCCCTGAGAATCGGAGGCCCATGCATACCGACAAAAACCACTTCCATTATCAAAATTTCCTTATATCCCTTCCACACTTATCAGAAGTACTAAAAGTTGTAACCGCAAGAGCGCCAGACAAGGCATTGGGTTTGACCCGTGGCTACAGCAAACAAACATAGAGTCGAGTGTGGAAAGACGGTTATATTTCTTATGTGATTTGCAGAGCGTTCATGCTTTAACATTTTTTTCTGGCAAGTGACCAAAGTCCGTCATCCCAGGTAGCATCACCACCGAAAAGCAAACATGGAAAGCAGAACAATGCGTTTTTAACATCGCAACCGCACAACAAGTCGCGCTTACAATAAATTTTCGGGTTACATTTTATTTGGTAAGTGCTTTTCTTGTTCGACGATGTTTTAACTATTTGTAAGCCCGGACGAAGACAGTCATGATTTTTTTACATCACTTTTTTACTCAGAGACAATTGAGAAAAAGCAATTTACCGTAAATATGATACACTTCTTTTGCTCATTGTCATTATCAGAACAACAAATAGTCAGCACACAGAATTATTGAACACTCATTAACAATAACACGAAACAGATTGTGATACAGGAATCAGTCTAAAACACGTGGTACCGGGCAATCGTGTGTACTATGAGCCGGCTGCATGGACTGCAGCCCCGATACGTGCTGTACCATTGAACTGCCCCTCACTCCATCACCCGACGCGCGCTCTACTTTTGACCGGCTAGCTGCGCTGAGATCCTTGCAGCCAGATGATAGCCCCGTCCTGCTTCGCACTACTCGCACGCGGACTTACTGTTATTTCAGCCGATTAGTGGATAATGAAAACGTAAGGGAAATATTAAAATAATGATATAGAGGAAATCAAGTGTTACAAGTTATATAAAAACAAAAACAATTTTTTTTTTATTTTTTAAAACTTTTAGGGACTTCTGTAGCTCTTATGAACGGGCCGCCACTGGTTAAAACGTAGAAGTGATGCCGTTTGCAAGAGATGCAAAGCAATTTATAGTAATTTCCAAAAGGAATTTAGTTCCGTTATTCACTTGAAGCGAATCTGGCGATAACCGCCCACGATTACAGCGGACGGCCAAATATATGCTAGAGAGTTATCAGAAAATCTTATTGGTGCCAGTCTTAGCCGTGAGTGAAGTTCCATGTCAATATTCAGGTCCATGTTAGAGGATTGTGGAACATTAACTACGCCGTCAGACTTATCAGATTCGTTACGTGAAGTAAAAAAATCCAGATTAAAGTAATGGAAAAGCTGAACGGTTGGAGATCTTTCTACATGGGAATTGTGGTCGTAAGTAGACCGATCCATGGTTCCATAAAAAAACAAATAACCATAATTCTGGTGAAACGCGTTGTAAAGAGAAGGTATAATGTATTTTAATGTTAATATATATGGTACTTTCCGAATCAGCAGTTCTTTTTCGTGGTGAATCTTCTCCAAGAAGAAATGGTTCCTGTCATTAATTAGTTGGCGTGTGCGCAGGTATATCGATCTCGGCTCTTCGCTCCACTGATTAGGTTGAGCATTAGATGAAGGTAGGCAATTGAACCACGTGTAAGGCATCCTGTAAGAAACATAAGCACAGATTAAAGAATTATTCCGTGTTCAGTGCAGGGAATTGAACTGGGTGCAAAATTCCAGCAACCTTCTGCTACGTCACACGAAGAGGTCAAGTGGGACGAAGGTGCCATGTGCTCTGTTACTTTCGCCTCCGACAACCCTATCCAGATTTCTGGATTCCAATGAGATATTTTTTTGTCTGTTTGTTTGTAACTGCAACAAAGCTTGGAGATATTTTGCGACAATCAAGCTTACGCCATGCATGAATCAGAGGTTCGTGGTCTAACTTGTGCTCAAAGAATTTTCAGATGACAAATGTTATGATTGTATGTAACCACACTCTGACATCGGGAGGCTCCCACCTAGTATAATCTGCACACCTGAGGCCAGTGGGTTATCGTACCGTGTCAAGCCCAGACAATCACCGTATGCTATTCAAGATTACAGAACCTCATAACCTGATATAGCGTTGCAAAATACCCGAAGAACGTCCAGCGGTCCTCGCACATAAAAGTGCATGGACAACGATTTCCACTCCAACAGATTCTTAATATATCAAACGTACCAAAGTCCTTTCAGGGAATGAGATTTACAAAATGAAGTACCCGTTAAACTGACGGCATTAGTTTCAAGATGAACAATAATTTATAGCACGGCGAAAAAGACGCATTTTTACTGTAAAACTTTTAAGACTTCCTTTTTGTGGTATAAAGCTTCCAAAACTATCGTAAGTATACATCAGACCTGGTTAGGGGCCCCAATTTATAGCGGAGCATTTTACAAGCGACTCTGATTAGCTTCAATATTCTGACTTCGCCATAGGACCTAACACTGAAACGAGGCCTTCTAAAAAGTGTTTTGCAAAATCATTCCAAACTGAAAGTGTACGAATAAAATCGCACAGCCACAGTGCGTTGGACCTATTTTGCGAACACTGCCAGTCAGTCACGCACGGAGAACACACCACCGCTGCGCTCTCTGGAGACCGACTAACTAACTAACTCCCTGGTAGCAGAACCCGCAGGTCCAACACCGACGACACCAAAGCCCGCCACCGTCCATCCTCACAGCCCACCTCTCTTCGATCCATCTTGATATTATCCTCCCATCGCCTTCCTGGTCTACCCAGAGGTCTTTTTCCAGAAAGATTCCCTGCCCAAATTCTGTATGCACCGCTTGCTTCCGCCCCCCCCCCCCATGCGTGTCTGGAGACCGACAGTGTTGATAATTAGCAGTAGAAACTGAAAATGGCGAGGTGGCATGTTATTTATTGATAAAAGAATTTCCCTATTGCGGGGCCCCAAGTTAATGAGTTCTTCCTTACCTATAATTAGCCTCGATGTGGCATTCCGTTCCATTGACTGTCACCGCCTGTTCATGTGGGGTCATCCTGACATGTCTCTTCATCAAGCCACAGTAAAGGTCAATAAGCTTTGCCCCAGAGATGGAATAATCACGTTCGAATTTCTCAGTTCTTTTCTTGAAGTGGTTCATGAATATCGAGCACCGAACACACAGTTTGTATACTTCGTTTCCGAAATCTGGGTTAAGCATGGCTGACCCCAAGAGGGTTGGCGAATGGCAGGCCACTCGCAGGAACCTAAGGAACTCGTCCAGCAAACTGCCGGCGTAGAAGCACGCCAGATGTCCAGAGCCGGAGTAAGGGCTGTAAATGTATCTCCCGGTGGCGGCTCTCAACAAGCGGTACTGTAAACAAATAGGCTAACTGTCAGACGGGCAGCTGACCACATCGGCTGTTATCTTAACCTGACGATGTCGCCGGTTTCCTTCAGTTCACACGTTATATTCTGATACCGTTATTCAAGTCATGAGCAGCTGTTTACAAACCCTGCAGTAGGTATGTCGTCGTTTAAATCATTGACGAATAAACAGTAGATGTTTCTTTGGATGGTTTTGCTGTTCATGCTATTTGTAGCCGAATCTTCTTTGCAACAAAAAGTAAGGAGAACGGAGACCGGTGGAGGGCTTTGGTTAATTGGATGATGAACCTTCGGGTTACTTAAGCCATCTGATTAGTTAGAATTGGGTTGCACGTGTTGTAAGCAGATGATGTGGAAACACGGAGGATGCATATGAGAAATATCACTTCCGTTTCATCAGTGATTTGTTTCCCTGTTTCTAACTAACTAACTAATTACATGACTTATGAAAATAGAAGATTCTTCACCGAACTAACCAAAGCCCTCCACAGGGCCGTGTCCTGAGCCAACAAAATCTAGTCTTCTTCAACTCCTATCTCCCATTGATCCCGGTTAATATTATCCTTCCATCTACGTCTAGTTCTTCCCAGCTGTCTCTTCCCCTCAGGCTTCCCAACCAATACCCGGTGCACAACTCTCGTCCCATCCATGCGCGCTACATGCCCCGCCCATCTCATTCTTTTCGACTTAATCACCCTGACAATATTGGGGAGGAGTACAAATTCTTAAATTCATAATTATGCAGCTTTCTCCATGCCACATCGCCTTCTCTCCTAGGCCCAAATATCCTCCTCAACACCCTAATCTCAAACACCTGCAATCTATGTTCCTCCCTCAGAGTGAGAGACCATGCTAAACCCTAATCAACACTCTTAAGGGTTTGTTCGTGACACAGCGTGCTTCACATCCCTGTGAGTTGTAACAAAGATTCGGTCCTTCCCCTCTCTCTTACCCGCCACTTCATAATCATCAGTGCAATGTAATGTTGATCTATTAGCATTTGTTGTTCAGTTGTTCGACCTTGTCCTATACGAGGCACGACATCCACCATAGCTGCAGTGAAAGGTTGAGTCGTTACCAGAAGTTCTTCCAATGTTCGACCTTCTTCAAAAAGAGACACGGCATCCGCCATAGCTCGATCAATCTTGGGACCCAAGGTCGAGAACCCGCAATTGAGAACTGAGGTGGCGACGTCACAGAATCGTTTGCACACGAGCCTCACTTGTCTACCCAAGACATCGTAAGAGCAATGTTCGAAAATGAGAGCCAGCACCTCTGGCGGCAAGTCCGTGATGTGCAATTGCCGTAGCTGTCGACTGCAGGCTCCAACTTTATCCGGCCCTTCGTTGTCACGTTTAATTTTTGACTTGATACAGCGAATAAACTTGTTCATCCCGACGAAGATTTTATAACCAAAATATTCCTGGTGGTTAAATTACACTATCTGAGTAAAATATTTACGGTTTACGATTAAACGCTTGTTCACCTTTCTCGAAACTCAAGACGTCAACAGGCCGTTACTAAGAGACAGTCAAAAATGAGACAGGCAGCCAACAATATGAAGCAGTCAACGTAGTACAACAATGCACTGACGTCATGTCTCGCAGTTTACACTTCCAATAATCAATTTGCTCAACAAGTTATGTATTATCGTAGAGGTATAACGATCCTGTACCAACTGCATCAGTTATTTAACATCGTATAATAAGAGAATATTATCGCGTTCGGTAAAATTGAAGGTCTTCAACATAAATCGTTCCTTCGTTGACTGTTATAAGGCGGGCTACATACTGCGAGGTAGACCCACTATGAAACCCGTCAGTTATGAGTTGGCTATAGGTTTAAATCGGCCACGTCCAGATGTATTACCGCATTGAAATATAGCGGTCTGTGTATCAGCGCCCACTTCAAAACGCAGAAATGCAGAAGATGATTAATCTTTCCTACGAACGAAGTCTTGGAATCTGGAGCAGGGTTTTCCTGTCTGAATCCTAACTTGAGCTGCAAATCGTGTTGCATGCGAAGATGCAAATGTATGGCTTTAATTTGTATTGTGACGTGCGTCATAAATCCCGAATACTCGCGCTGGAGGGGAAAGGCCGCCTGACTGCCCTCCCTGGCTAGCGGACGCGGACTGTAGGTGTGACCGCTACCGAATGTTCCAGACGCCGTATTCCCCTCCCGAGGGATGGTAGAAACTACCGGAAATTACCAGAATTGAAAGCTTCTAGTAGTCGTAATTTCAAGGAAGCGTACTTCCAGACTTCCTGGTTTGGAAGCTTCGACAGCTGGGCCGGCGATTATAAAAAGGTCGCCTGCCCGAATGCGGGTGGATAAGTAGTTGTTGACAGCGGTGGCGACAGTTGATAAGCGAGAGGAGCGAGTTGTTGATAAGAATGAGTGTGTGGAGCCATAGAGCAGTCTGGTGTGGCGCTGAGCAAGAAGTGGTCGGCTGCGTGTGAGGCGCACCGCATTCGTGGACCGTGGCGGCTGAGGAGACAGCGTGTGTCCAGTGGGGGCCGACGTGTGCGTGTGCGAAGAGAGTGAGTGTGTGTGTGTGTGTGTCAAGAACAGAGACAGACCCCCAGATATTGTTATAGTAGTAGAGAGTTGCCTGTAAGGCAATGTCCTACGTAAGCGATAAAAAGCGAGCTATGCGAGCTGCATAAGCAGCATGGGGTATCATATAACATAAGGGAATCGCTTGTTGTGTCCTACATATGAGAAGCACACTGCGTTCCTGCGTATGCACCTTCCGTGTACTGCAAGGTAAGAGCTTTCTTGTGCACGCGCCTTACTGGCCAGCGCAGCGACTCGCGCGAAAATATCAAAATATTTGATCTCGGACTTCGGTCGCTTTCCTCTCCTGACTGATTCGCTGTAACCTAGGACAGCGCCATACAAACAGCCAGTTTGATATTTCCGCTTCACCCACGCAACTCGCACCGCTCGCATTTAATCGCTCACGTAGGACACCGGGTAAGTGTAGACCTCTGGAACTGATTTGATTTAACGTTAATAAATCAGGGTTGAGAAATAAAATGCGTACCAAACCACATATACGTCACAGTATTTTGATGATGTGTCTTTTTAAGCATTGAAACTGTGTCCAAAGATATCAACTGCATGGCTTTTATAAGCGAGGTGAACAGATGGTTTTTAGCTCGACTTCCTGAAAATCGCGACTCTCTCTGCTACTTCCGAATTCCTTTCTGTTTCAGGGGTGTACAACAGCCATTTCTCGCACTGATGCAGGGTCACTGCTTAATACGCTAGTGCTGGCAGAACATACCAGAAATCCCAAAACCCAAGTCCACATCGCCAATTCTTGACAGGAATTTTGATTTGTATTGATTCGTAATTCAAGAGTCTCAGTCACAGGTAGTCTACACGTACTAGCAAACATACTCTGTCCATTTCTCATGAAAAATTGTACATTCAGAATCACGTTTTAAGTTTTTTAACAAAGATGTTACATAAGATGTTTTTGTTCAATTTATCCTAGTTTCATTTAACTATGAACAACGCAAATCAGTGAATGTTGGGAAAATGTACTCGCTACTTAAAACATAGTTAGAAGCAGGGGCGCCTTCGACGTTGCGATGGCTTAGGCGTCCTGGAAGTAGAAATGTAACGTAAAAATACAAGACTGAAAGGAATAAATAAATAAGACGCCGTTAAATATATAGAGTGGGGAATAAGAGTCCATCCCCACCCATCGGTCACATCTTCGTGGGTGAACAGACGAAAGCAAAGGTTTGTAGAGATGCGTAGTATTTGTTCTGTCTGCTACCGGTACAAGAACAGTGTGGGGTTGAGCCGTTTTATTACACGTGGCTGGCTTCCTACACGTATCTGTACGCCGTTTAAAACGGACAGTGCACCATACCAAAGAGTAATGATTCTTCTCCCGGCCATGTTTGAATTTTCGTTCGTTGTTGACGTACGTCATATGCTTCAAGCAACTTTTTTGATTCACTGTTGAGTTTCAATGTGAGTGCTTAATGCGCGCTCTTTCAGTAACTACACAAACACGTGTTAATTAATTGTATTGTTTTTACTGTTAAGTCTGTTCGGCCAGGTTTATGTGGCAAAACAAGAGTGCGAAAGAAAACAAGCACAAATATTTCTTTCGCAAAAGTTTTCTTGTTGCAGCCAACTAAAATTGAGGCTTTGGTAGTATTGCCTGACGAAATGTGTGCCGTTACCCCCCCACTCCACCCTTGAGAACGCTGTACAGCATTTTCATCACTTGGCCGGTGACACGTGAAAATGATGAATTAATGTTTTGACGACTTTCTCATCGAATGTATCTACGATACCGACCTTCTTCTTTTGTGGACGTGATTTCGCCTGTGTTGAAAATGAAGTTGGCGTGCGTTTGTCAACTTCCTTTGATAATTCTTGCAAGTGTTCGCTTGAAAATGCCAGTGGCAGCCATCACCCTTGAGCCAACACTTTTAAAGGGATTTTTATGTCATCCCCTGCCTCGTCTGGCTTATATGCCGACACGTCATAACTTATCTCTCGTCTTTGACTGTGAATAAATCTGTTATCGCCTATCTAAGACGTTTCGTAATGGACATCGGCCCACTGCCATCTCTTTACAAATTCTTCAGAACGAACTGCGACTATAGTATTGTCATTTCTTCTCGTTTCATCGTTTAATGTTTCAAAGTTATCACATTCCAAGTCAATATCCATCGGTTCAGGCGGCGGCTCACTCGAAATACTCGCGCCGGCGTTGACACGCTCGGCTTTCTTTCTTTCATTTATAAAGTTTCAGATAACCTCAAGATAGAAATCCGTTTTCAGTTACCACTGAGGGACGTGGAGGAAGAACTTTTAAAGAATTAATACACGTGTGCTATGCCAATAAATGATTAGTGTGTTGGACATTTGAGGTTGAGACGGAAGGGAAATGTTGATTGCAGACTTGTGGTTTGTGATACTGTGTGGTATTGTTAGTGATTCCCAGTCTTTTGGGGGGGATGTATGGCCTCCATCTTCAGGGGCGATACTTTCCTCCAAAATGTTGGCAGCCTCATACAAGACCTCAAGGCATCAACAAAAATGACCCAAACCATCATAAAGTAAGGAATGTTTATAATATAGTTTTTTCTGTGAAATTTTACTGTGCTTTTCTGCCATGTGACTGGTCAGAATAAAGATTGTCAATAAATACTAACATTTTCAATTTCCTTTTTATTCATGATTAATATTCGTCTTGTCATTCTATGTAGGGAACAGAGCGTCGATTAATAACCCAAGAAAAGAGTATCATATGACCTTCCGAAAAGTTTAGAGTAATGTGACCTTAAATTAGGCCACGACCACTTCCACGTCCTTCCAATTCATTACTCCGATGCTACGTAGTCTACATACTGGAATCAAAATAACAGGAAATGCATTAGAGGCTTGGATGTCCCTTTTTGCGTTATCAGAACTTTCGATAAAATTCTACATTTCTAAATTTAGACTAATTCTGAACGCATTTATAACCGCTCTACTTTACATGAAGCCCTAAAGTACTTAATTAGACATAATAAATGGCACATCCTGTTAGCACAATTAATATATTATTATTATTTAGTGTTCTGTCTGACGACAGGTCCATATGAACAGGATCCTTCCATCCTTTTCTCGGACTGGGACCTGTTCATATACATTCTTGGCAGATGATCCAGAAGTGGTTTGCCATTGCCTTCTTCTGTGTGTGAATGGAGTAATTGTTGGGATGCCACGGAGGAAAACTCCGTGGTGCCTAGACCACGGCCTTGCCCAACACAAGTTATAAATCCGCCCTTTTATGTAATGGACACAAACTTTTTTGGGGTGAGGGCAATCAAGAGGATATTTCAGTTCACACACTCATGTTTTTCTACAACTGAGGTGCTTTTATTGCCGTTCAGTTATTTTAGATTTAGCAAACACGTGTAGACTGCGGATTGTTTCAGTGCACGTTTCTGAATGCGAATACACTATTTACACTCT